ATAAGTTTTCTTTCTAGAAAAATTTTATAGCAGTTTCAGTCTCCTTAATAAGTAGAGCTATTTGGATTTTTAGTTTGGATTATGTGATTTTTGGACAGTTTATATCTTTTGTGCCCTATTTATTCAACAGGTAGTACTGACTTTGTTTGCTTTGGTTTTGGATAGTGTTTTTTATATTTATTTTGTTTTTATTTTTAATTATGTGAATGTGTCTGGGAGTTTGTATATGTGCATGCAAGGTGCCTTCAGATGCCAGAAGAGGGCATTGGCTGTCATGGAGCTGGGGTTACAGGCAGTGTGAGCCCCATGATATGGTGCTGAGAACCCGTCTTGGACCCCCTGCATGAGTAGGATGTACTCTTAACCACTGAATCATTTCTCCAGCCCCTGGTTTTGGTTTTTCAAGACAGAGTCTCAGATACTGAACTCTTGATCCTTCGCCCTCTGCCTGGAATTGTGCTTCATGCTCGCCACATTTGTTTTGAACCAGCATCTCACTGTGTATCGAAGGCTGACTTCCAATACAATCTTCTGACTCCTTCCTTCCTTCCTTCCTTCCTTCCTTCCTTCCTTCCTTCCTTCCTTCCTTCCTTCCTTTCTTCTTTCAGAAAAAGTCTACCTTTATAGACTATGCTACGTAGAACACACTGTGTAGTCAGTCCATGGTGGCCTCTAACTCCCAACAATCTTCCTGCCTCAGCCTCCTCAAATATCTTACTTTAATATGCAGTTTTTTCAGATTGGCTGAGAGCCTCTTTTTCTGTTACTTTGACTTATGTCCAGATTTGTCTTGTATTTCCCTTAAAAAAAAAAGTCTGTGTATGTCTGTGTCCACAGGTATACATGCCTGTGGATTTAATGTGCAAGAAGAGGGTGACTGGAGTTACATACAGGCTTGATTTATAGGTGTACACCACCGTACTGTCTCTCTAGGTTTTTCTTACTCATTGTGATCATCATCTTTCATTTAATCATTTCATTGAACAGATTAAAGACCTCTTTAGTGCTGTTCAAGTAGGTCATTTTTTTATATTTCTTCTTGACTGCTCAACAAGTGTGGTGATTTTTATATTAGATAGTGGATAGTGTAAATGATTCATTGTAGAAACTCTAAATCTGCCTCTGATGAAAAGACTAGCAGCTCAGTGTGACCGTGTGGAGCCTTGGCCTTACATCTGAAAAAGATGGGCGTGTTTGTTTTACCCATCCGCACAAAGCAGATCCCATAGACCTAGAGTGTTTTTCTATCTCAACTCCTGGTCTTTTTCAGTGTCTCGGGGAAGCCTGACGTTCTTTCTGTATCCCTCTAATGAGGTAGGAATCAAATCTAAATTCTTACCTGTTCTCCTGGGCACAAGCTGGAGTCTTGGTTCAGTCCCTTCAGCCTTCCAGGTGCTATTTCCCTTGGAATGCTCAGTCTCCCTTAATGTGTGTGGTTTGGGGGTTAAACATGGACTTGAGGAGAATTTAAGTGTGTTTTCTAAGACCTCTTCCTTTCCCTGTGGCTCTCTCTTCTGTGGGATCTCTGTTCTCAATTGCCAGCACTGTGGCAGTTCTGAACCCTGTGCTTGGAAGAACCAGAATTCTTTGCCTAAGTTTTATTAATTTATTCAATAAATGTTCATTGATTCATGTGTATTTTAATATTTCATAAGAATAATTTTAATGGAACCAGAGAGATGGCTTAGGAGTTAAGATCATTTGATACTTTTGGAGAGTACCCAGGTTCCGTTCCCAGCACCCACATGAAAATTTACAGCTGTCCATAACTCTAGTTCCAGGGGTTCTGGTGTATTCTTCTGGCTTCTTCAGGTACCAGGAACACATACACATGCATTGTACATGTATGCATGCCAGCAAAACATTCATACACATAAAAGAAACAAAATTTTTAAAAATGCTTTTAATATATGTTGAAATAATTTCAACAAATGAATAAAACAAGAAAAGTTTCAACTTGTTTAAAACAAAACTCTTCATAATATTGTTAGGGAGAACTCGGACTACAGATGAAAAGGGTTTTTGTTGTTTTTTTCCTACCAATTTTTTGAAAAATAATAATTGGTCAAAAGCAAATTTTAAAATTCTGTTTATACTTTTATAAACAGACAAGTGAGTGAATAAATAAATGTGAGAAGACACAACTCTCCCCTATAGAAGGATTCCAATTTATAAAAATGTAGAGGGAAAAAGAAATTTAAGATTCACCATTAGAAAATTACTAGAGGCAAGATCCTTCAAAGGATACTAGAATTAGCAGGTGAAATTTAAAATAGAAACTATTTGCATACCCTCAAAATATTTTCTCTAATGTATTTAATAATTTCCAAAGGGGAAATTACACATTCACAGTGAGACCAAGTGATCAAGACAAACATCACTAGAACTGTCAACACATCTGTTGATTTGATGCCCTAAGAAGGAAGGGCCTGTCATCTCACATGTATCCTTCAAATAATGACCTCGTTCTCATCATGAGTTGAGGGAGATCCTATTGATTAACTGATTTAGAAGTGTCAGTCATGAAAGACAAGGAAAACTGAGAACTTGTGCCAGATTGTAGAAGACTGAGGAGGTATGACAAACACATGCAAATAAAGCTGCTGACAGAAGGAGACTGAGAAACTGAAACCTGTGTTAGTCTACATTTCATACACTCTCAAGTTCACACACATGCCTTTTTAATCGAAGACTTTACCCAGGGCTGGAGAAGGGGCTTTAATGGTTAAGAGGACCCTGCTCTAGTAGAGGATCCAAGTTCAGATCCCAGCTCCCACATCAGGTGGCTCACAAATGCCTGTAGCTCCAAGGCAGTGGTTCTCAACCTTCCTAATGCTGTGACCCTTTAATACAGTTCCTCATGTTGTGGTGACCCCAACCATAAAATTATTTTTGTTACTTCCTAACTGTAATTTTGCTACTATTATGAATAGTAAGGTAAATATCTGTGTTTTCCAATGGTCTTTGACAATCCCTGTGAAAGGGTCATTCAACCCCAAAGGGGTTGCAACCCACAGGTTGAGAACCTCTGCTCCAAAGGAGTCATGCACACCCCCTCTGACCTCTGAGACAGAGAAACAGAGGGACTCTCTCCCTCTCTCTCTCCCCCTCTCGCTCTCTCTTAAAAAAAAAAAAAAATCCCTCCTAAACAGCCCAGGTTGGCTTCAACTTGTCCTCCTCTTCTATCAGCCACTGAAGTGCTGTGTCTGGAGATGTATGCCACCATGCCTGGCTCTAAGTTAACTTCTCTGAGTGTTGTGCTGTGGTACTGAGGTTTGAACCTAGAGTTTAATGCATGCTAGGCAAGTGTGTAGTCTACCGCCGAGTTACATCTGCAGTCCCAGTTTCTTAGTTTTGATAAGTGTTCTCTGAGATATCATATTAGGGGAAGCTGAGTTGAGAAAGGGCAAAAAAAAAAATCTTTGTAACTTTTGTAAATCTGAAACATCTTAATTCATAAAATAGCGCTTTTAAAATTAATGTTAAGCGATTGTGGCTTAACTGTCATCACCTTAATTCCAACACAGACATTTAAGTCGGTTCTCAAACACCATTCCCAGGCCAGCAGTGTCAGCGTCTGCTGGAAATTGTGCTTCAGCAAGTCCCCCCAGGTGATTCTGATAGCACAGACAAGTGGGGAACAGTCATCTATGGTATAGATTCTATACCATCCACAACAACTTTAGGTAGGAAGCACATGCAGGAGGCTGAGGCAGGAGGATTGCCACAAGGTTAAGTACAGTCAGGACTGCCTTGTGAGACTCTGTCTCAAAAAGGAATAACTGGGCTGTGGAGAGGGCTCAGAGGTTAAGAGCACTTACTGCAGCTAGGCGGTAGTGGTGCACGGCTTTAACCCCAGCATTCAGGAGTCAGAGGCAGGTGAATCTCTGTGAGTTTGAGGCCAGCCTAGTCTAATGAGTTCCAGGACAGCCAGGGCAACACAGCAAAACCCTGTCTTGAAAAGCCAAACGAATGAATGAGTGAGTAATGTGTTTTAGCTATGTGTGGGTGGTGCACGCCTTTAATCCCAGCACTCAGGAGGCAAAGGCAGGTGGATCTCTTGAGTTCCAGTACAGCCAGGGCTACACAGAGAAACCCTGTTGGGAGGGCAGGGAGATAAAGCATTTTTCACCATGAAGGAAGACTACTGTAGTCAACATTTGTGTCCATTTCCTAGAGTTCTGTTTTTAATCAGTCCTTCTAATCCGTCTCCAAAGTATGCTTCAGACGTAGTCTTTCTTTCGCTCTTGCTGTTGTGGTCTAGCATGTAATCCAGGCTGGTCTGGAACTGGTTGTCTAGCCTGATCTGGCTTCCAGTTCACATTCCTCCTCAGTGATTAGTTTACAGGTGTGTGTCATCATGTCTGACTGATAGTTAAATGCTTTTTTTTTTTTTTGGTTTTTCGAGACAGGGTTTCTCTGTGTAGCTTTGCGCCTTTCCTGGATCTCGCGCTATAGCCCAGGCTGGCCTCGAACTCACAGAGATCCGCCTGCCTCTGCCTCCCGAGTGCTGGGATTAAAGGCGTGCGCCACCACCGCCCGGCTGTTAAATGCTTTTTTAAACAGAGCATGGGGTCTTAAATTTTACATTTATTTTGTTATTTTATTTTTCAGACACAATATCACTATGCTGCCCAGGCTAGCTTCAGACTTACAATCTTCCCACATTGGCATCTATAGTGCTGGGATTATACCATATCTGACTAAAGTTTGCATTTTAAAAGATGTGTATCCGATCATCTCTCTCCCATTCATACCATGAATTCCCTGCTCACTTGATCATGGGCACACCATTGACTTTTGTGGGCTCCGTTCTTGCCTCTTCTCTACTTGGTCCCTCAGCAACCACAAATCTCAAATTTAGAAGTAGAATTGTATGTTGATTTAGATAAATAGAAGAGAATATGACAGCTATGTCTGTCAGTGTTTCAGTATCTAAAACAACAACAACAAAAACAAAACAAAACGTGATTTTTTTTTTTCTTAAATTGTCTCCACAGACTTACAACAGCTGTGCCAGGCTCTGCATAAACCAGGAGACAGTATGTCTGACAAGCACTGCTATGAAGACTGAGAATTGTGTGGCCAAGGTAAGTAACAGTGTTCAAGAGTTAACATCAGGCCACATTGGCACAATGCTGCATCTGTAATTGTCTTTTTTTTCTTTCTTTTCTTTTCTTTTCTTTTTTTTTATAAAAGAAAGCATTTAATTAATTTGGGGTTTTCTTACAGTTTCAGAGGTTTAGTCTATTATCACGATGGGGGACATGGTAGCATGCAGACAGGTACTGTTGCCTGCCGTAGTTGAGAACTACATCCTAATGAGTGGGCAGAGAGCCTGTAATTGTCTTTATTCAGTGTTGTTACCACAGACTATCATAAGATCATACATTTATGAAGAGAATATAAGCAGGCATCACTTTATACAGAGTGAACTGAAAGTTGGCTTTTCTGTCTCTTCAGTTGCAACAGAATCTTTTGATTACCCAATCACACTGCTCAGTAAGATTTGTGTAAGATAACGTACAGTTTGTTTTGTAACTTCCTTTGTGGCTGGTTTGTTTGTTTGTTTTGTTCTTTGGGTTTTAGTTCCTTCGAGACAGGGTTTCTCTGTGTAGCCTTGGCTGTCCTGAACCTCACAATGTAGCCCAGGCTGGTCTCGAGATCGGCCTGCCTCTGCCTCCCGAGTGCTGAGATTCAACTCAAGCACTGCCATGCCTTCTTCCAGTGCTGCTGTAGCACATCAGCAATACACTGATGGTAGCAGTGTGAGCAGAGGAGAGGGCTACAGAGGGCCCAGGGGGATGGTGTGCCGCTGTTATTTCAGAAATGTCATATTTGGTGATTTTGAGTAGAAATGTATATGTAGCTGACATATGGGCCAAGTCTTTCATGTATAAATGTGTGTTATATCTCTAGATACAAAAATAATTTAAAAATTAGAAATCTTTGGGGCTGGAGAGATGATTCAGTGGTTAAGAACTCAGTGGTTAAGGACTGCTCTTGTATAGGATCCACGTTCAACTGTCAGCACCAAGCAATGGCTCACAACCATCTGTAACTCCAGTTCCAGGGGATATGTATGTCTGTGTCTTCTTCTGGCCTTTGTGACCATCGCATCCACATAATACACGGACATACATATAGGCAAAATACCCATACACACAAAATAAATTTTTTTAAAATTAGAAATCTTAAAATTTTTCTTTCAACTTTCTTGACTGGGGGGAGCTTTTTGTTAGTTTTACCCTCTTGGGGATAATGTTCAGTAATGAGTTATATGTCTAGAGTTTGTCTTCATTTTTATGCAAAAATAACTTTTATTACCATATAGGGGTTTGTTGTTTTACAGCTTTCCCACTTCCTGCTTACTCCCTTGTGTATGTGTGGGCCCTTACTTACTGTCATTACTAGAGGTAGGACTTGGTGTCATGTGGGCTCCATCTTTGTTAGGAAATTCAGGAAGAACTGTCTGACAACAAAAAATAAACAAGGTAGCAGCTTAGAAACAACTTAACTTTCTATAGTTCTAGAAGTGGGAAGATCATTGTGACAGTAGATTCAATGTCTAGTTAAAGGTCACTCTTCTTCAGAGATGGAGCCTTTCTGTAGTCTCAGGATGGAAGGGATGAGCCCAGCTCTGGGCCCTCTTAGTAATCATTTCTTTGTTTACTTATCGCTTAGTTAGGGCTCTAATTCTGTTCATGAAGACACTGTCCTCACACATTAAGTGGTTAGGAAGGAACACAATCATTCACAGCACAGGAGCAACAAGAATTGTTACTATATTTCCTAAAACACATGGTAATCTCTGACCTTGTTTTATTAGCTGAAAGTTTACAGCTTATAGCCATTGGAATTAGCCATATGAGGAATGTCAGAATTTATTTTAAATTACAGCTGCAAAAGGTAGGCTCATCAAATTGTGTCTTAAGTTCACATCCCAATTTGCTACAAAAAAAATGAAGAGTAACGTAAGTTACATTTAATTTTCAGTTACTTAACAAAAATTTCTAAGTGCTACTTCACCCTGTTTTATATCTAGCATTGGCATATGGAGATGGGGATCCAAAAAAAGTGTTCTTTTGATCCTTTTTTTGGACATGCTGCTCTCACTTTCATCACAAGTGAGTTACTTTTGGCTAAACAAGGCAAAAACTTAGCCTGAGCACCATCCAAGGACAGGGTGACAGTTTTAATGAGTTTCATTGAGAGCTGGCCAACTGAGCATCTGTTCCTGTTGTTCTCACGTACTTGGTAAGCCAGTGTCTACACTCCTTAGCCGTGCTGCTGTGTGTGTGTACAGTGTAGGGTGGGTTTGGGTTTGTTGTTATTGTTTTGTTTTGTTTTTTTCTTTTTCCACCCTCTACTTCACTGGTGCACAGTTAGAAATCTTCTGGCATCTGGCACAGTGGTGCAAATTCTTCCATCCTCTCGGGTGAGGAAATAAGTTTGCTTGTTACTACTCACCAGTCTGCTTCACCTGCTCCCAGATGGTGACCTTCTCATCCCATTCTTGCTTGTTTCAACATTATTCTGACACCTATTTTCTTTCATTGTCCCCTTAACCACTCTAATTGAATAATGATTTCTATAATTTCCAGTTGGAACACAACCAACTTCCTGGTTCCTTTTATTGGCCCACATCCTGTCTTCTAGTTCATTGCTTCAAATTTGAGCCAAGTCATCAAATAAAAATACATAACTGAAAGAAATGTTTATTGCAGTAACCTCCACCAACTAGCATGGCAACAACGAGAGTTTTCCTTTCTTATTGCTAAACGTGTTGTTTCTGTCTCATGATGTCATGCTGTCTTTCCTGACCTCATTTACTTCTTGACCTTTGAAAGAAATGACTGGAAATTATTTTTGTAGATCTGTAAGCATTTCCCTCTTTCTTGTTCTTCATCTTTAGTTCTTAACAGTAGTAGTTTTGTCTGCTGCAGTGGTGTGGCTGTGATGGCTTTCCTTCAGAAACTGGTTGAGCATCTGATACTGATTCAAACTGCTCCAGTGTGGCCTACGTGTCCAGCTGTCTCCATGTGAGAACCACTGTAATACAGTGAAGCCAGCCTTTTTCCCCTAAGAGTCAAAGCAACTGAATTTTGGTCAGAGTAATTTTGGTTTGGGTATAAATACTAATTGTAGTCTTAGCCCTTTTATTACTTGTTTGCATTTTACAGAAGACATTGGTCCTTTTCAAAATCAGGGATGAAGCCTGTTGTATTTTGTGTGTAGCTTTCCTCTGCCAGTAACCCTGTAGCCTTGCAGTTCCTGTGTGGAAAGGACACTCCTTTTAATTCTCGGTAAAATGTAAGAAAGCACAGCTGCTTCATACGCTACCTTAGGTTGACTGCAGTCTCCTGAGTCTTTACCTTGAAAGAAAGAGATTCAAGAAAGAGACATTTAAAAATAAAAGCAGGGAGAGGTCCAGGTAGTATTTGAAGCCATGAAGTATCTTGTATATAGTTTGTTTTTTTTTTTTTCTTTCTGTCTATCTGTCTGGGATCAAAAGATGTGCACCACCATGCCCTGGCTTGTTTGCTTTTTAAAGCATTTCATCTGCTCATAGCCCTAGCAGTTATGAGATTTGTTTGGAGAACATGATGAGCTCTATATTTATTGTAGCTTTAAATGGACAGTCATTATTGACTGTCAGCTTAGTCTTTAAAATCTATAATCACATTGTACCTAATTGTCAACCTTCATGTTTTTTAATTATGAAAGAAAACTGAGAACATTAATTTTTATGTTATCTTATTATTGACTTTATTGAAATACTACAGAAAATTTTGGTTTGAGGCTTTTCCATAATTTACCTTTACACCTCACACCCCTTCCATAAACATGTACAGTTAAAAATGAGTTGTTAGAATACCTACCTCTACCTTGATTCCTGGCCTAGATTGGGAAAGCTCTGTCTTTGTTTGGAATAAGTCCATTCAATGGTCTTGTGTACATTCTGTATTTTTGTTGTTTGTTACTACTGTTTTTTACTTGAGACTAATAATCTGTTTGAAACTGACTGAGACAGAAAGATGTGATGTTCCTTCCCACTCACTCCAGATTTTGATAGAAGACTTGTTTTATTTATTTCCAAAATTATATCCGCAGGAAACAAGCTGTTTAAATTCAGATTATGCTGAAGCAAAATGGTCCTGGTATGAGAAGCAACGTGCTGTTTTACGAGCACAGAGTCCCTTTTCTCATAACTGATTGATAGTAAATATTTTCCTGAAGAATTATTGCCAACCATGAACAGTGCAACTGTTTCACTTTGTTTCCGTGCTACTTGCTGTACCAGCCATTGTCGGTAATTAAGATCTACAATTCACAATGCAGACGTTTGCACTTCCTCTGGGTCTGTGCTATTTATAAGGCGTTTCAGCTGTTCAGAGTTTCTTCGGAGTTTTAAACTACATGTTAACAGGCCCCTTTAATATACTGTTCCACAAGTAGGAAGTCAGATGTCTGTCGTTCACACAGACCCTTCTGACATATCTGCAATTAGCTTTGTGGTGAACACAGCAAGATGTAATTGTGTCTTACCATCAAGGCCGTTGTGATTGGGAAAACTTGGAAGTGTAATACTGTTTTAAAGAAAGCAAGAATGAAATTCAGAATTAACATCTTTTCTTTCATCTTTAAAGGGGCAGTGAATTTAATGTCAATGGTTACCAAGGTTTTAAGAAATACACTTATTGGCTAGAATTTGTATATTTGTCAAATTAAGAATGTGAAAATAAGCTGGGCGGTGGTGACGCACGCCTTTAATCCCAGCACTCGGGAGGCAGAGGCAGGCGGATCTCTGTGAGTTCGAGGCCAGCCTGGTCTGCAAAGCGAGTTCCAGGAAAGGCACAAAGCTACACAGAGAAACCCTGTCTCCGGAAAAAAAAAAAAAAAAAAAAGAATGTGAAAATATATTCCCTCTAGTTGTGCATGACTTTATGTCTCAGAAGACTTGGGACAAAATGGATTAGCAGATTGATAACACATGTGTTGTATAACAGAAACCTGAAGTAGCACATACCATTGATAAGGAAGGTGTCAGCAGAGAGCTTAGTCTGTGTTAAATAAAATTGGTCAAATT